ACTTACATCATTCTCTTTACTAAATACAATGGGTGTTTCTTTTAGTAAAGCGGTGGCTGCATCCATGTTGATTGTAATAGGCTTTACCACCTGCCTACTTACATTATTCTCTTTACTAAATATAATAGGTGTCTCTTTTAGTAAAGCGGTGGCTGCATCCATGTTGATTGTAAAAGATACATTTATTGAAAAGAAGGAGATAGCTCAAGAAAGAGTGAGTCCTCGAGTTCAACTAGTTGGAAGTTAATTTTAAATTTTTCTGAAAGATATTTTTTTGCTTTGGGTTTGGAGGTGTTATTAAAGTGTTTAATAATTAAATTGAGTGATGTTCTTTGATTTTTGATAAGGTCATAATATGTTATGACTCTGGCTAAGAAGTCTGTTTCAATTGGAGATTTGGTGATAAATTCTGTGGCTTCTTGTTTGTTTTTGTTAAGGATGTTGTAATTTTGCACAGTGATATGATAATATTCAGCTAAATATTGGTAGAAGAAAAACCTTCTTCTTTCAGGATTAGTTTTAGTTGAGTTTAGTTTACAGATTTGTTCCTCAAATTTTGTTGCAAGTTGGTCTATAATTTTGGTAGGTATAGGTTTGGTAAATGTTGCTTCATGTTTGCCATCTTTATGAAAAATTGAAGTGTTAAAGGAAGGTATTTTTAAAGTTGATTTGTCTTCTGAAGGTTGTTTAGAGTATGCTTTATATGATTGTTCAAGAGTTACTGTATATAATGCTTCTTTGTTAGAGGCATGCCATTTATTACATAATAAAATTTTATTAATAGCTACCCCCATCCATGTATGGTGTGATCTTAATTCTGATTGGTTAATTTATTTAAAGATCTTCCGTATCTAGTATACACTATATATCATATTATAAAAAAAATTTAAAGTATATACATACTTTGTATTTACAATAGGCAGTCTAACTATTTATAGTTTATACCCAAGTTTAATTTATAGTATTTGTATATACTAGTAACAGAGTGATGAAGTTATAAAGTGTATGGCTTACTAGAGAAAGAAAAGTGTATGGTCCTAAAATCTAATTTCTGATTTGCCAGCGTGAACATCTTGTTCTTCACCCACTATTAAAATTACTACCTATCTCCGTCAAAGCTACGAATCTGCACAACACCCACAGTTGAAGTCGCTACTAACTCATGAACTTACATTACAAAATCTCGAATCCACTCGTTGAAATCTTTATTATTACTCAAAATCATAAACAATCATTAACTTGCTTATTGTTTAATATAAACTACTAATTTACTCACCGCTAAAATTAACCCGTCAATATTAAATGCACTAACCAACCTACAACTGAAACAGTAAACTCACTCGATGTTTAAATCACCAACCCTCTTTTAAAATCACCAACGCCTATTGTTAAGATCACTGTTCTACCGTTGAAAGTATTAATCACCAATCACCCATCGTTACAAATCACTAACTTACCCATCCACTTTTGAAATGATGAGCGCACTCATCATTGAAATCACAAAATATAGAAAACAGACAAATAAATCTTCATAGTATCAAAATATTAGTATATGTCGAGGATGATACTGAAATTTGAGAGTCTCTATTTAAATATAAACCCTACCAAAATCCACCTATACTTTTTATTATAAACACTAATATTTAAATCCTAATCTAACTACAAAAAAAAAGCCAAAAAACGTTCCTCCAAATTTTAAAATTTCATATTAAAATAAGCCAGAGTTTGGTATCATCCTAACAGTATAGATTGTTCGTTATTCATAAAAACAATTTTTTAATGTACATTGACTTATATACATATATAATCTATCTCAAGCCAACCCTATCACTCAAGCTCTATCAATGAAATGACTGTCGACAAAATAATTCATGAAATTGGTCTATACATATTATAATCATGATTAAATTTTTAAATAATATCTGATCATAATTTAAAATGAAATCTACATTTTTTACTCAACCTGTTGGTCTTCTAAAACCCACAAATACTTGTTTATTATAACTTTACTTTAAAACTAACTCCTAATCCTAACCCCTAGCCCTAAAAAATGCACCCCAAAAAATTTTATTTTTCAAGATTTTATATTATAATTTCATTTTGATCTGGATTTCATTATGATCTGTCACATTTATTAACCCAAATGAAGCTTTTCGTTCCTGGTTTTAACGCGACGTAGTCTCGCAGTTACCTAATATATATATAAATAAAAGACAATAATGTTTATCAGTATTATACATCTCGCGTCAACTAGTTGCAAATTTCATCCTGTCATGTAATGATTTAAGAAACGATAAATGATCATACAAAGTGTAGGAAATTTATTTCACAAAATCATCTGCATATAGTTCCTATTAGGGTTCTAAGAATAGTGAAATAAACAGATACCATGGTTTGGTTTAAAGATAATATGCACAATTCTTATTTGGATTCTGGGAATACCAAGAATAGAAACAGGTACCATGGTTTAGGGTTGTAAAACATAATAATATGCATGTAGTTCTTATTAGCATTCTGAGAATACAGAATAGACCCGGATACTATGAATAGTACTGTGCTTGGCGTTCGTAGAATTTTAAAGGTTTTGGGGGTAAATAATGGTGAGATTAGTTAAAACAGTCACGAGCGATGCATGAATAAAACTTATCTGAGTAGTCAAAGATACTAAAATAGTGGTGTTGATTTTAAATTTATAATTACTGTGTTGATTTATCTTTCACTTGATTTGGATTTTAAAAATTTGGGGCAAAATAATGAAAAAATCAATTAAATAAGACATAAGAGAGCCAGAAAAATGATAAATAAAGCTTATTTAGTAATCGAATATTTTAGGCTAGCGATGCTGTAGCCTTTAAAATGTAATCAATGCATTGGTGTTTGGTCATGCTGGTTATATGTGAACATAGTAAAAGAAACGTATAAAAACGGCATAAAAAAGTACTAAATTCTTACTACTGTTGTGAGTTTTAAATTATCATAAAAAAATGCAAAGTTTTTTAAAGGCTCCTAAATTTGATAAACAATTTTTTTATAAACCGCCCACTGACTTATACCAAGAATTTTGTAATGCCTATGCTTATTCTGAGCAGGCAGCCCATTGTAATATCATCCCAAACAAACAAAAGTTATTAAGTAATGCACGAATAGAGTAGAAAAAAATTCGGGGCAGAATGAAACTATTATTCGTGAGAAAATACAAGCATATTTAGCTACTGAACCTTATATAATCCGTTCATATCAAAGAATAATGAGACCGCCACCGACCAATTTTGTCCAAACCTCATCTATTTCCATGCCAAGTTCTTTACGAACATCCATTAATAAAAGCATTACGGCAAAGAATGCAAGAGCGCAAAATGATGCAATTGAAAAGATCAAAGAAGCGACCCAACAAATATTGGAGTATGAGAAGTTATGCCTGCTGATATCAGATAATAATTTTAAAAAATCAATCATATTACAAATTGAGGAAAAAAAAAAATTAATTAAAGAAAATGAAAAAAAATTAAAAAAACTTAAGGGCCGCGCAGAGGCACAGGCTAAATTTAGAGCAAAAAAGCAGAAACAGATAAATGAAGGTGTTGTTGAGCAATATGATACTCCCGGAAGACCACCTGCAGCAATTCTTTATCTGGATCTCTGAGACAAAATACATGACAATGTTGAATTCAGTGCAGCTCATGCTAAAAGAAGGAAAACAGTGATTAAAGTTCGTACTATTAAACATTTACGTGAATCATTAGAAGAAAAATATAATATATACCTTTCTCATCAATGTTTGTCTACATACCTGGAACCTCGTCATAAACACACTTTTGCCACACGTCGTCATCATCATCCAGCAAAAATTGGTCTTGCATCTGTAGCTAGAACTAATATGAAGCAGCATATTGATGAACATTACTGTTTGGCATCTGTCAAAGCAGCTCGGGTATTTGCTGAAGTTTTTGCTAATGATGCTATTATCATCTCTCAAGATGATAAAGCCAAAGTTGGGTTAGGTGTTCCAGCAGTAGGTCGTACATTTAAAACTATACAATCAATAAATGAGCCGGTTACAGTTGAAGATCACGACTTTGTAAAAGGAAATAAAATGAAACTTATACCTTCTGTATATCTCTTTATTGATCTGACAAATTCAAACACTAACCTCCGTACTGGCCAGCTTACTATTTTTATTAGACCTGAGTATTTCGTAAGCACATCGTCAATAACACACATGGCAGATTTATTAAGTCTTGTCTCTGATCAACAATTTGCCTCTGTCCTATTAAAGTATAACAAAGTTAAACATATTTGGGTCCTCCTCGTAAACGAAGGACCAGATGAAAATCCTAGACATTTTAAAAATATCATTGAGTATTGTAATTTATTTTGTGTTCTTGAACTTGATTACTTAACAGTTCGTACAGTATACATGCACCAGGTCAAAGTGCTTACAACCCCATAGAGCGTAAAATGGCATCTCTTTCCGAAAAGCTTGCTGGTATTACACTATCTGTTGACGAATATGGGTTACACTTAGATACTCAAGGAAATGTTATAGATGAAGAATTAGCTCGACATAATTTTGAGTTTTCTGGACAAAAGTTATATAATATTTGGATTAAGGATAATGTACACTCTCCTGACATTGATCATCAGAATTTTGATTTTCACATTACCTAATGATGATCGTAGCCACATATGTAACTTAATTTTTTAATAAAGAAAGTAAACTTGGCGTAGTAAGTGAAGTTGTTCAGAATAACGACTTGCATAATATTCTAAGATTTTTAGGAATTTTAAATAAAATTTTATTAAGTTGTATTTAGCATTTTTGATCAAAAAAATGAAAAATAAAAAAATTGTTATTAGCTCGACGCATTTTAAAACTCTATTATAAATAATAGTTGGTTTAAAAATATGTTATTCTCCAAACTCAACAGTATATAGGATTAAATTTTCATAGAGCAATTCAAAAAACTTCTCATAAATTACCGGGTTTTATTAAGACATT